GCATGCTGTATCTTATGGCTAAATATGTTTTTAAGCAACTTATTTTTATTGTAAAAACATAACACTTACCCTATTTATGGCAAATAAAAAAAGAAAGCTAAATAATTTAAATAGATAATATAGTGACGTCTATGAAAAATACGAAAATTGATATGGTTTTTAGTTAAATTTATAATGTATATGTAAACTGATTTAAACTGGTCTGCCTGCAATTATCCTTATAGTTTGATCAGAGTGATCGTGGCCAGGCCGTAGACTGATCATATATATGGTAGTAGTGATTTAACACTATTTGTTGACCATGACGCCATAATATAGCTTGTCCGAATCAATGAATAGAGATCTTTTGAAAATATTAAACTCAAATAACTAAACAATATTGCTATTTTAATGACATTACGAGTACAATGTCAAATAGTTTTTCACCGCTAGCGGAGCTGATAACATTTTTTAACATAAACAGAAACCAGCATATCTGGTTCCCCAATTGAGGTAAGAAATTCTCTGTGACCTGTTCCCAGTAATGACGATGACGATGGCTGCTACTTTTTTACTTTTAATGAGGCAATTATGCTTAGAACTTATCACCGTCATTATTAAAGCTATCAAAAGTCCACATAGGCCTCCCCCATAAATTGTCAAATAGTCTGGATATTTGCTAAAACGATATGAGTTGGTGGATTCTCATTACAGTACATTTTCTACTTCCGTTTATGAGTGTTCACTTCATTTGGAATGAACCTAATTTTAAGAATTTTAACTTTTTAAATACTTTACCAATGGTCTATCAGATCTGATATAATGGCTGGGACGATCTTGAACGTGTTGACATACTTCAGAATTCCTGGGGCGTCGGTGCTTCACATCAGCGATATACAGCTTTTACGGGGTTTTTGGGGTTTTTTCATCCAAAGATACGTATAAAAACTCACGTAAAAAGGTAAAATTTAATGCGATAAATTCGTAAATTTAATTTTATTCCATCTGCCGTATTCGCGTAAATATAATAAATTGTTATAGAACTTCATTTACGAAATTTTGCAGTCTACTCGAACGTAACAATAAATATATTATTTATTTTATGGTGCTAATCAATATTAAATGGGACCAATAATATGAATCAAATACTCGTATCGCAAATAAACTTCATACTGTAAATTAATAGACGAATCAGTTTTGTTAAAACTAAACCAATTTTAACGATGAAATAATGAAAATAAAAATGACGGAATTTTTTCCAAATGTAAATAAAAATTGATTCGAATACAATTTGGTATTGATTGACTTGGCAATCGCACTAAGCAATCTAATTTAATATAATATGTATTACTTGTGAGATACATTGTGTTTTCTTGCGATGGCCGAGTCAATCTATATATTTAAAGCATATAAGATTTTTAACATTGATATGGTCACTATAAAATATTGTTAGGTTAGCTAATTACGTAATAACTTAAAACAGAAGGACCTTTAAGTAGGGACTGAATAAATTAACCGACTTGATATTACATGGATCTCACAAATTTTTACGGTAGAAAAACTGAGTTTCGAGACTTGGTGTTTTTTACAAGTTATGTTTTGATGACATATATTATATATAGTAAGATTTATGGTCCCCTGTAAATGATAAAATAAAGCTTCAATTCGACGCGATTAAAAGATTCGACCATTCATATCACGTATTTTAATAATACAATCTCACTACTTATCAAAATCCAAAAATTGTCGTTGACTTAGAATTACGAAAATTTGCAAGAAAAAGGATTCATAGCACAAACAAAAAAAAATTGTAAAGCGTAAATTTCAGTTACGTCACCTTAAAATAAATTTTACCATTACAAACTTACATTTACAGTTAGAGCAGCGGTTTCCATGTCAATCAATGTTTAAGAGATTTTTTTCGTATATTGCAACGTTCTGTGCTTACCCTTATATATATATATATATATATACACTCAAGCTTACAATGTACGTTTTATATATAACTAAAAATTATCTTTGTCAATTTACGAGTTTCGATATCGGAAAGATGTAAAAAAACTTGTGAAATTTGTGACGTGTAAATAATTATTTTCAGGGACGACATGGACACAAGAATTGGTGTGGCTTTTAGCAAATGATTTGAATTATGCAAAGGCAGCTGCCGAACCTCTCACGTCAAGATATACATTGATAGAGTACGTATTTCTACATTACAATAAATTTGTTAGCGCATCTTTTTGAAATAGTCACCGATGCATTCCGTTACGGGTATTTATAATTTTAATTTCATTATTACGTACTAGTGAATAGTCCCTGCTACGGCTAACTGACTATTACTTATCTTGGTTTATATACTCTACTCTTTAAAAAGATGATAAACCAGTTAAGTAACCGGTTTATGTTCTTTTTTTGGAGTAAGATTGGCAAAGCTCTGGCGTGGCTCTACCACGTTACATTATTTATTCGTTATATCAGGATTTCTTATCTTTTTGCGATCACTACACATTGAATGAAACTATTTTTACTATACGATCTGAATTATAAACCTCAAAATAACCAAAATAATAACCGTATAACATATACTTTATAGCAATGTACCGAACATTGAATAAAACTATTTTTACGATCTGAGTTGCCGATATAAAAACGACTAAAATATTATCCCCACAATGTATAATAAGTATGTAGGCAATATAACGAATGTTGAATAAAACTATTTTTACGATCTGAGTTGTAGATCTGAAAATAACTGAAATATTATCCTAACTCATACATAAGTCATAACGTATAAAATATATCACTAGCTGCTGCCCGCGACTTCGTATGCGGATGATGTTGCTTATGCCAGCGAAAAGGGGTTCGTCAAAATCGAAGATCTGAAACGTCTGATGTAGAATTCTAAGAGCCCGGGGACGGGAAAACAACGTGATGCGCGAGACAATTCGAGACGTTCCAAATCTTTCATTTTTGTTAAAAATGTCTTCAAATTTATTCTCACAGCAGAAAAAACTCTTCACGTGGAATATTTTTTGCTATGGCACCATTTTTATATCTCTTATACTTTAGCTGGTTGTTGCGGTTCTGCATCAAGTGTTCCATTTTCCAAAATAAATTATAGCCTATATATATGTTACCTAGACTTAACACCTATACAACAAAAATCTTTTCATCCCGTATATTTCACCGATCCGGATCCCAAGGGTACACTGAATTAACAATAATATTGCAAATCACTTAAAAAATATTATTCTTTATAAAGTATAGCTGTACCCTTGGCTTTGCCTACGTTCTCGATCACGCGCAAGTCGTATCTCACGCTCCTGACTGCTCTCAAGTGATCGAGCAGTCTCAGAGCGGATATTCTGAAAACTTAACCTATGATCCCTCTGTGTAACCGTTTCGGATGCGCGAGAATGACGATCCCGGTTGATAGCTAAACTCTAGTTGATCCACACTTTCCTGAGATCGAGAAGTAGTAGTGCGGACTCGTTTAAATTCTAGTCGTAATTGGTGCTGCGTGCTAGTTTCTGCGGACAAACTTAGTGCATTACGCTTACGGTTAGCGCCTAGCCGTTGTTTACGCTCTGCGTGGGTTCGAGAGAAACTACTGCTACTACTAACTAACCTGCGTATCTTAGAAACCCTTGAGTTTCGAGACAGATTTAATCTTTTTCTAAAAGCATAGCTAAAATTCCTTCTTAATCCGATACTAACGATAACGATATTCAAAACAATGAAAAGTAATCGAATAAGTACGTAAGAATTGCTAGTAAGTAGAAAAATAATTATTATTCGCAAAAAAATTAAACACATCAACCAACATAGACAACAAAGGTAACCCCCCGTTTCTATAGGATGAGAGCGGCCCATCGGCACCTATAAAATCACTTTTTGGGAACGAAACCATAGTGCGATCTAACTCGACGCCAACGCCATCTAGTTAGTAAATGGAAACTACATATTATTTACCAAAGTGATTAATTAAATTATGAATTAAAACTAAATTGTCGTTAATTTAATAGACAAGTACATTATATGTGCTTGGTAAGATATAACTTAGAACGAAAAGTTTGACTTGTCTTCATGATAGTGTAACTTGTTGTACCACCAATCAATCTGTTTGGTAATATTGGTGTGAAACTCTCCATCCAATTAGATAGGATATGTAAAGTTCTCAGATTTCCTAATGCACATTGGTTGCGCGGAAAACTATGCTTGCTTTTGTATGCATTTTGTGCATTTAGTTATTTTGTGCATTCAATTACGAAGAAAAACCTTTTAAAATCAATACTGCTTACCTCCTATAATATACGGCGTGATAATATGTAGCCTAAAGCCTTCCTTGGTTTACAAAAAACATTTTTGCTGAATTTCAATTCAATCTATCCAGTAGTTTTGGCGTGAAGCCGTACCATACACACAGACAAACAGACAAAAATTCTAAAAAGTCACTTTTTGTCATCAGTTACGTTTTTCTAACAAAAGCCACTTATTTTTTTCTCGAAAATACTCAATGTACAGTTTTTCTTTCGTTACTGTTTTATTATATGTATAGATTTTATTATATGTATAGATTAAGGAACTAAAGGAGCTGTATCCGGGACTGGTCGTAGCTGCTGGTGATAAGAGCGCTGGTTCTTTTCTCGCTCAAACGTTAAGTATAGCCATCCGGAGGAAACGCAGCCAGCGATCTCGGCGCGATACCATGGGGAGTGGGACTCTTTGATAATTTAAATATTCAGTTTTAGTTTTTCTTTATGATAGCTCTTAGTTTTGTGTGTAACCTTTTAGTTAGATTTAAATTTATAATATTGTGTACTATTAAGTAGTATAATATATATATATATATATATATATATATATATATATATATATATATATATATATATATATATATATATATATATATGTATATATATATATTATTTATATATATATATATATATATATATATTATACTACTGTGTTTTAACAATGTATGTATAATTAAAATTATAAATTACAGATTCTCAATGTTCATGAATAAAGATTCAGTAAACGAACTTAAATGTCTCAATAAGCATAATGAGGAGAAGAAAAAACTAATTGATTTTTTGAGCAAGCCTCGCTCTGGAGTGATCGCCAAAAAACCGTCACCACGTTTTATCAAAACGCATATTCCAATGTCTCTGCTACCTCCTCATATACTCGATATTGCTAAAGTTGTGTATGTGGCACGCGATCCTCGGGATGTTGCCGTTTCATGTTTCCACATGAATAGGCTTTTTAACCTGATACAATTTGTTGGCGATTTTAAAACTTATTGGAACTTCTTTATTAGAAATATGAGTGAGTAATGTGTAAAGTTTTGTTGCTATAGCAGATATAATATGTTTTTGTATAACCAAATCATTTAAGAGGTTTATTTTTTACAAGAGCAAGACATGCAAACAAACACAGAGTTCATCTGATTCAAAATAGATTCTGTAGGATAATTTAAAATAATGTAAAAAATGTACGTAATTATTGACAATAATTAATAAAGTGGCACTACCGATAGGAAGAAATGTTGTCGAGTAGCAGGCTCGTACCATTAAGCGAAGTATAGGGCTCGGGGATGAGTCAGCTGAACCGAGGAAGGACCACGCTAGCACAAAATACTACCATATAATAGTAACATAAATTTCCTCCGTTTCTTATGGAAGTGTAGATAACAGGAGATCCTTTTTACTACTAAAGAGAAATTCGATCTCAGTACTCAGAAGTGATAACACATCTACATCTTGATTCTTAATTCATTTACAATTGGGTGGTGCAAGTATATCGCTTGACACCTGTACTTTCATAAAAAGAAATTAAATTAACATGACCTAAATGTTTCAGTTCTTTGGACACCATACTTCGATCATTTGAAAGAAGCATGGGAGTTGCGTAACCATCCCAACTTGCTGTTTTTATTCTACGAGGACCTTTCTAAGGTTTGAAAAAAAAATATTCCTTTGAAACATGAAAACCTTTAACATAGGAGCTGTGGGTAGACATTGCTGGCTCTAATTTAGCTGCTACGATATAACGAAGTTTTAAACAGTTTTCAAATACTGGACATCATAATAAATACTGAGATACCTACTTATATCTTTTACATAATAAAACATTTATTTTAAATATTGGTCGCAGTGATAACGCATGGGTAGCCTTCCTTGTTGGAAGATGGCTGCAGGTGTCCGTGTACTGCATTAGCCACTTACCATCAGATGCAGAGCTAAGTTATTTATCACTTCACTTTTATAAAGATTAAAATTAAAAAAGCCTTTCTAAGCAATATATTATACTTGTTAAAGCATATTGTGAATTTAAAAACTACTTGCTTATAAAATTATACATTTTAAAACTTCTATATTATCCCGCATTTGACTGATAAAATCATCATCGGCTATTATGAAAATAAATACCTTAGGAAAGGAAAGACCAACCCTCCCATTTTGCATTTGTTGTTTAATAAAAAGTACCTTTGTTACCCTGGATTAACTACCATTATAGCGATTTTTTTGTAATATTTGCATGAATTGCGAATATTCAGAAACAGACAAAAATTCAAAACATAACTAGAGATTTTAAGAAATTTTGTGTCCGACTTATTTGTTTATGTTGTTGTTGCATCCTTTGCTTAGTATCCTAGAATTGTTATATTATTACACAATTTTGTTATACATACGTATTGTTGCGCGCCTTAATTAATGCTTGTTACATGGCCACTAGCGCCATCTAGTATCGAATAGCAAAACTAGGAGAGCTTTTTAGAAATTCCATACTAGAACTTTCTACATGTAGTCAGATGGGGCCGGTATGAATTCGAACCTACTAGATGTTTCAGTAGAATAGGTCCTGTATAAGGCTGGTAAGGACCACGATCGAGGCAGTATTGAGTTGACGATAGAAGCGAATACTTCGAAGCGATATAACTGCGAATTGTGTTTTATTATTTGTGTGTTTTAAGTATCAATTTTGGTAATTCAACCGGCAGTTTTTATTGTCACGAACCCAGAGCTCGTAACAATATATATATATATATATATATATATATATATATATATATATATATATATATATATATATAGTCCCAAATGTAGCATTAGAAGTGATAGCCAAGCTTAAGTGAAATGTGTATTTGTATAAAAATTATAAAATTTTTGTTTAGCGGCTAAAATTACTTTTAAGTAGGAAGAATCTGTATTTCGCATAAAGTGCATGTTGACTGATAGACTCCACTATGTACCGAAGTATATTTTAACCGGGTGTTATTACGATTCTTTATATTGCCATGTGGTAATAAAGCACATTGCAAGTATGTGTAATAGTCACTGAACTCTAGTTATAGTGATACGTGTTTACATGGACAGAACTCAGGCTGCAAGGAGATTTTTTATTCTTCTTCTTTTTTCTTTCATCCTTTTGATAAACAAAAAGGTCAGTTTATAAATTAAACTTTTCTTTTTATTTTATAAGGATTTGCCTCGCATCGTGCGCCTTGTTGCTGACTTTCTTGGTAAAGAGTATAATGATGAACAAATTGCCGGCTTATGCTCACATCTCCATTTTGAAAACTTTAAAAATAACCCTTCTGTCAACATGGATGAAATGAAGGAGTTGCATTGGTTAAATCCAAATGAAACTTTTATTAGAAAGGGTAAATATATTTTATTCTATAATATTTATAGTTAAAATGAATATATTAGTGGTACATATAAAGATATTTCATATTTTCACACACACACACACACACGCACACGCGTGCGCACACGCACACGCACACGCACACGCACACGCGCACGCGCACGCACACGCACACGCACACGCACACGCACACGCACACGCACACGCACACGCACACGCACACGCACACGCACACGCACACGCACACGCACACGCACACGCACACGCACACGCACACGCACACGCACACGCACACGCACACGCACACGCACACGCACACGCACACGCACACGCACACGCACACGCACACGCACACGCACACGCACACGCCCACGCCCACGCACACGCACACGCACCCGCACACGCACACGCACACGCACACGCACACGCACACGCACACGCGCACACGCGCACACGCGCATACGCGCACACGCCCACACGCGCACACGCCCACACGCGCACACGCACACACGCATACACGCACACACGCATACACGCACACACGCACACGTACACGCACAGCACACCCACACGGGCACACGCGCACACGCACACACGCACACACGCACGCACGCACACGCACACGCACACGCACACGCACACGATAACGCACACGCACACGCACACACAAATATACACAGGCGCGAGCACATACGCCTTAATTGAAGAGCTGTGGATTTTGTTAAATAAATAAATAAAATTAAAATAAAATATTCTGCTTTAAAAAACATCACGTAATTATAGTCGACTAAGATCTAAGTCAAGTATGTTAAGCGGGACAATTGTGACGAACCAGGAAGAGTTTGTTTTACAGTGATGGAGGCCCATGTTCAGCGGTTGACTTTTGAAAAAAAGGGCTAGTAAAAAAAACAGAGGAAATGTATAATAATAAAAAAAAAATACTGATGTAATATTTGCATAAAACCACTCTTTGAAGTAACACAGTTCTTTGGTGTGAGGTTTGTAATTTTGTTTTTTTTTTTATGTAAGCAGTAACACGGTCAACCTGATGTTTGAAATTTGGTACATAGATATATCAATTGCATTGTCGACCCGAGGATCGAGATAGAATAACTGGTATATATATATATATATATATATATATATATATATATATATATATATATATATATATATATATATATAGTTAGCCGTGGTGCTCAAAGTAGTGTAGATGTAATTTGTAGCGAATATTAAGCTGAAAATTACGTAATACGCGAGCATCCTCTAGTTCCAAGTACAACACCCGCGTTATGTGTTTCTAAAAAGCAAATTTTAAAAACACAGCAAATTTTAAAAACAAAACTCCATTGAAAAAAAAAAACAAAGTTCTTTTAATTTTCCTGCCACGCTTATCGCGCTGTTCATTTTTAAAACAATGGATCTTAACCGTGAACATTTGTGCGCTATGATATGTTATGGTTTTAAATTTGGTTTAACCGAACAATTAAGTTTACAACCCTTCCAATCAGCATTAGGGGACTTAGCTCCATCACGCGTAACAACATTGAAACACCCCTAGATGCCCTGTTTTCAAAACCTAGACGCATTTCATGGCGCCAATCCACATGAGTCTGTTTTTCACTTTCGGAGAGCTCCATCGACAACAAAGCTTCCTCACTGCAAGATGTTGATGTAGGATGGTATGAATGCTCCCCGAACTTATGTCTACAATCTTTTCGATATCCGTATATGTGATTCGTGAGTCTACTCGCACTAATATTTCGGTAGTCCATACATTTTCTGCTGTTACTGCTGGGTTTTTTTTAGAAGAGGGGGCAAACGAGCATACGGTTCACCTGATGTTAAGTGACTACCGCAGCCCATGAACAACCGCAACACCAGGGGAATTACAGGTGCGTTACCGGCCCTTTAGAAAGGAGTAAGCTCTTTTGTTGAAGGTCCCCAGGTTGTATAGGTCCGGAAAAATCTCCTTTTTTTATAGAAGACGGGGCAAACGAGCATGTGGCTCACCGGATGTTAAGTGACTACCGCCGCCCATGATCAACCGCAGCACCAGGAGAATTGCGGGTGCGTTGCCAGCCCTTTAGAAAGGAGTAAGCTCTTTTGTTGAAGGTCCCCAGGTTGTATAGGTCCGGAAAAATCGCCTTTTTTTAATAGAAGAAGGGGCAAACGAGCATGTGGCTCACCTGATGTTAATGACTACCGCCGCCCATGATCAACCGCAACACCAGGGGAATTACAGGTGCGTTGCCGGCCCTTTAGAAAGGAGTAAGCTCTTTTGTTGAAGGTCCCCAGGTTGTATAGGTCCAGAAAAATCGCCTTTTTTTATAGAAGAAGGGGCAAACGAGCATGTGGCTCACCTGATGTTAAGTGACTACCGCCGCCCATGATCAACCGCAACACCAGGAGAATTGCGGGTGCGTTGCCGGCCCTTTAGAAAGGAGTAAGCTCTTTTGTTGAAGGTCCCCAGGTTGTATAGGTCCGGAAAAATCGCCTTTTTTTATAGAAGAAGGGGCAAAAGAGCATGTGGCTCACCTGATGTTAAGTGACTACCGCCGCCCATGATCAACCGCAACACCAGGAGAATTGCGGGTGCGTTGCCGGCCCTTTAGAAAGGAGTAAGCTCTTTCTTGAAGGTCCCCAGGTCGTATCGGTCCGGAAAAATCGCCGGTGGTAAACTATTCCACAGAGAGGTTGTACGTGGAAAAAAACTCCTTGTGAAACGTACAGTGGTGGACCGCCAAGCATCCAGATGGTGTGGATGGTATCGGGACGTTTGACGTGTAGTGCGTTCACGAAATTTGGCGGCTGGGATTAATCCGAACAATTCCTCAGAGCACTCCCCGTGATAGATGCGATAAAATACGCAAAGAGATGCAACATCTCTTCGCAGCGCCAGTGAATCGAGCCGATCGGAAAGCACTCGGTCGTCGACGATTCGAGCCGCTCTGCGCTGGATGCGGTCAAGTGGAAGAAGCTGGTACTGGGGAGCCCCAGCCCAGAGATGGGAACAGTATTCCATGTGCGGCCGAACCTGCGCCTTGTAAAGTTGCAGGCGGTGTGCCGGCATGAAATACTGTCCCGCTCTGCTGAGCACGCCAAGCTTTTTAGAGGCCAATTTGGCCTTCCCTTCCACGAAACTGCACGTCACTCGATATGTCGACGCCGAGGATTCCGATACTGGCTGAGGCAACAAGGGGAGTGCCTTGAAACTGAGGGGATACGACAAAGGGGTTCATTTTAGCGGTTAACGCGCAAACTTGTGTCTTCTGGGGGTTAAACTGGACTAGATTTAGTCGCCCCCAATCCGAGACTCTGTCCAGCAGAGACTCGACTTCAGACACAAGTTTGTCCCGGCACTCGGAGACGTTTTCCCGAGAAATATTGGCTCGGCCGGTGTAAAGAGCATCACCAGTGCTGTCATCTGCATAACAATGAATGTTACGGGTACGCAACATGTCATTGATATGCAGAAGAAACAGCGTTGGCGATAGCACACAGCCCTGTGGAACACCAGCATTAATAGGCTTGCAATCGGAGCTTGCACCGTCTACAACGACCTTGATGCTCCGATCTGCAAGAAAGCTGGTGATCCAATCGCACAAATTCTCGGGAAGCCCATAGGAAGGGAGCTTCGAAAGAAGCGCTTTGTGCCAAACCCGATCGAAGGCCTTCGCAATATCGAAACTAACGGCCAATGCCTCCCCCTTGAACTCTACTGCCTCCGCCCATCTGTGAGTTAGGTAGACCAGAAGATCACCAGCTGACCGACCACGGCGAAAACCGTATTGGCGGTCACTAATCAGCTGGTGATCTTCAAGGTACCTCATGAGCTGGCAGTTTACAATGGACTCCATTGTTTTGGAGAACAAGGAGGTGATGGCGATTAGCCGGTAGTTGGACGGGTCAGAGCGGTCGCCTTTTTTAGGGATCGGGTGGACGTAAGCCGTCTTCCATGATTTTGGGACTACGTCTAGGGAGTAGGAGTACCGGAAAAGACGCGTTAAAACCGGTGCCAACTCTGGAGCACACGTCCTCAGCACAATTGGGGAGATTCCGTCAGGCACACTCGACTTGTGGATGTCCAGGGAGAGGAGTGCTTTGCGAACCGAGCGCTGTGTGAAGCGCACTTCCGGCATGGAGCACTCACACCGCGGGATGGTCGGCGGAGTACTCCCCCCGTCATCGAGAGTCGAGTTAGACGCAAAGAAAGAGCCTAGAAGATCGGCTTTCTCCTTTGCGGTATGGGCCAGTGAGTCGTCCTCCCTGTGCAGAGATGGAAGAGATGGCTGACAGAAATTCCCCTGGACAGCCTTGGCGAGAGACCAGAATGCACGGGTTCCAGAAGGAAGGCGAACTAGTTTCTCGCCAATTCTGCCTATGTGCTCTGACTTTGCCTTGGCAATGACTCTTTTGAAGGACCTAGAGGCGGAATTATACTTCTTTTTTAGAGCGCTGGTGTTTACATCCCGGGACGCTGATGCATCAGCCCAGGCTTGGTAGCACTCCTGCTTATAGCATGATGCTATTTTACAGGAGATGGTGGAAAACTATTTCACAGAAAGGTTTTTAGTCGTTGTTACGAAGATGCTGCTTCCCATCTCCTGATTTGTCTCCCTCTGTCGCCTCTTACGACACCGACGGGATGATATGGGGTAGTGGATATCTTACACAGCCACTTCACACTTACATCCTTTATTTGTTTCATTGATTTATACACTGTGTAAACATACATATAGAGATATAAATTCCTTATCTTTAATAACTTTAAACACCCGTATGTGTTTCGATCTGAAAGGTATCGAAATTGAGTATAATTACATTCCGTAAAGGCCTGTCATCTTATTCTTTATAAGTAACAAAGCACTCGTAGACTTTGTTTGAAGTTGATTTAGGCTTAGTTGATGAAGGCTGCAGTAGCTATGGATGGTACGGATTGGTATGGATGGTAAAAAAAGTATATATAAATATAGAAAAAGGGCATTAAACAAAAAAAACAAAGTAACACGCTTTGATTATGAACTGTAAATATGCTAGTGAGTTTCTTAGGTCGTATTTATGACATTATTGTATTGTTATCGATCCTCGATACGTCTGCGAGAATGGGTAAATTTCATAAAATACATGAAATTCATACACATACAATCAAGTTAAACTAATACTACCTTATTAAAAGCTAAATAAATTCAGGCAAAACTGGCGGTTGGCGCGAGTACTTCGACGACGAAATGACCCAGGAAGCTGAACGCTGGATCACGGATAATTTGAAAGACACTGACTTACGATTTCCATCCGCACAATAGTTAGAACTGGTGTAGCCTGTGATTGGAATTTGACCAATTGTGTGCAAACAACGCAAAAGCTTTTTGTGTAATTTTTTTTTGTAATATTTTCATTTTTATTTTGTAGGCAAAGAGATTTTTTTAGATTTATCCAGTTAGTATTATATTTTATCCAGTTTATATTTTATCCTATTAAAGTATATTGACAAAAAATTCCGTTTTATTACACATGGATGGAAAATTCATGTGTGTATGTTCACTTATTTACTAGTCTTAACTGCAACACACACTCACGATTTTCTTTTTGTGCATATCTCACAGTACTCTTCCTCTCCTTAAATACTATAAAAATACTTCAATTATCGAAGTTCACATCAAGGAGTTTCTATTGCAGTTATGTATAACGTTTACTATTATTTAAGATGCGTAACGTATTCGATTGTAATGTTGTATTCAATAAATATTTAAAAAAATATCATTAAAATATTTTATAAAATTATGGAAATCGATTTTTTTTAATTGCAAGTTATTAAAAACTTTTGGTAAATCCAAATATCCAAAAGCGTGCCTTAAGCGCTCATGCTATACGTCCATTTTATAATTTATATTATTTTAAATACAAAAAAGTTTTCACAAATAACCTTATTAATATTACTTCTAATTTTTCGATAACTTTATGTCAAACTTTAATTAAAAAAAATTGGAAAATCATGATCATGAAAAATTTTGAAAAAATTTCTCAATCAAGAACAATTTTTTTTACGATGTTATTATTATTTAGATTCAGAACAGAATTGTCTCAAAACGATCAGAAATCAACTTTAATATTACTTTAAATTTTGGGTATTTGTACTAAGACATTATCGTAAATACTTTTCTTTTTACCTGACTCGTTAATATAAAAATTCTCATGAAGTTTATTTCGTTTTCAAAAAGTTTTTCATCTAGTCATAACCAGTATTTTTTAGTATCAGTAGTATCTTAATTTAGCATTCACCTCCTTCAAGTCACACCTTCAGGTCACTCCATGAAGTTCAAGACGTAAAAGTGTATGTATATATAAATCCAATGTACTTTTAGCGAAACAATGTATTGTAATGAAAGTCTGTGATTATAAAAATAATAATAATATTTTACCTTGGTCAAATATGTATCAAAATATGATACATATTTGACCAAGGTTTCATTTGATCGATATTTTTCATCACGAGCCGTTGTAAACAAACGATACAGTAATCCACTCACGATTGCGGCCGAGCCATAGAGCAATTATATATTGGGCTGAGCCCTATATGCAGTGATTCAAAGTGTATCTGTGTTTAGTAAATATATTATTTCAAGGCTGCTCTAACGTCGAAAATTTTGGAATTTCTAAGCAAATAAACCAAATTAAACCATTATTTACATTCCATGGCTTCCCAAATGATAGATGAAGAGATTAAAAAATAGGTTGAGTTGAACAATTGACATTTTCAAGAGTTTTCGTGTAAAAATAGCAATTAATCGATTTAAAAAAAAGTTCAATAATGTGTTCAATATGATTGTTAAATACAATTTCATGCGACAAAACGTTGGATTCTAAATTTTTAGGCGCTAGTCTTGTAGAAGAAAATCATTGACTTTTGATAAAACCTCAGTGTGCTTCAGCTTATGTGAAGACACGCCTGTTAACTACTTAGAGTTAATAGGCGTGACTTCACATAAGCTGGGAGCTAAGAGTTGGTGTCCGAGTTTTGCTGATACATAACTTTGGTGCACCGAGACTGTGCAACAACACCAGGCTGCGCATCCTAAGGAAACAATTTTATGTATGCCGCTACTAATGGTCAAAACTATTTTGTGGTCAATCCTCAATTCCTCGGCTATGTCATGACTACTAATATGCCAATCTTGTTTAATTTTTTTCAAAAATGGCATGGACTTTATCCATATGAGGACTATCAGAGCGAGCTGCATCTTTGACGTCAAAATTCCTGACTAAAAACCGCTTGAACCAACTTTGTAATACTCTTACTGACGCTGCACTAGGTCCGTAAACGTCAAAAATGTTTACGCAGCTTGAGTCGCATTTTTTTGTAATCAAACATCAGAATGTATCAAATTTTTTCATTAGATTCACTCATTTTGAAGGACAAAAAAACAATTGAAAAATAGCGAGAAAGTGTTTTTACTTTTTATTTTACTTTTTCTTAATGTCTTATATGTAGTGATATTAAAACCACCTAGATATAAACGGTACAACAAAAGAGATTTTCTTCAATTAACACAAACAAAAAATAATGAAATCAAGACTACGCCTAGGGAGTAGGAGTACCAGAAAAGACGCGTTGAAACCGGTGCCAACTCCGGAGTGCACGTCTTCATCACCTTAGGAGGGATAATGACTCCAGCAGGCCCATTGGACTTGTTTAGGTTCAGGGGAAGGAGTGGTTTATACACCGGGCGATGTGTAAGCACTACATTTCTAACCTAAGCAAAACACAAATTTATAACCTAAGCAGTGGATCTGTATCAGCCGCAAAGTGGTTTTTTCTCCTCTAAACTTTGAATCACTTTTTCCAACCACCAATATTTTTCTAACGGCGGTATGTCTTTTCTATTTGTATAGAAACGATTTACTGTGTTTCGCAATGCACATATATCGAAATTGTCCAGTTCAATTTTTAGCGCTAGGTTTTCTATTTTTACCTGGTGTTGGCAATTTTGGTGTTGGTCTTGATTCTGGGCCTGACTTCAAAGTACTAGACATAGGCGAAACAGTATGTGCTACTGTCTTGGCTTTGCTTATAATTTTAATCAAAGTCGTTTTGCAAACACCATTTGCTGCACAAGCCCTTCTTATAACTTGGTCCACAGGAATCAATAAACGTTTACTTGATTTCTCATTTTCAAAGAAATTCAATACCTTCAATGTTCTTGCTTCACTATGGGTTGTCTTTCCCATCGTTCTGTTTATTTAAAACAAAAGCGTAACAATAATCAAGAAACCTAATAAAACTAAAAATCTATCTATTATATTTATACATAAATAATACATAAACACTCACGCCTGTCACCCAGAGGGGTAGGCAGAGACTACGGACTTCCATTTGGCATGATCCTGACATACCTCTTTCGCTTCCTTTACATCCATATATCTACGCATACATGCTCGTCGGGGTTAAGGGTACTTCTAACGTACCCCATTTTCAAAATATCGCCAATTTGGACGATAAACTCTTTTCTAGGGCGTCCCTTCCCGACTGCCGTTCACATCTGCCATATAAATTTGTTTTGTCACTCTTTCCTCATTCATTCTTTCTACATGGCCAAACCACCGAAGCATTCCTTTCTTAATCCTGGTAAAAACATCATCGTGCATACCACATTTATCTCTTATCACGCAATTTCTCACCCTGTCATTCAGATTCAACCCTAGCATATTCCTTAAAGACCTCATTTCTACAGCATTTATTCTACTTCCGTGCTTCTTCTGCCCCACGCAGCTTTCACTACCATACATTAAAGTAGGGACTAACACAGCATTATGAATTACCATACGTGCCTTTTTTGACACATTCTGGTTCTTCATAATAGAGTGTAGTGCCCCATTGACTCTATTCCCTGCATTTACTCGTCGTTCTATATCCTTATCATATCTACCATCCCTGCTAAATACACATCCCAAATACAAAAACTCATCTACTTGCTCAATTAACTCTCCTTCTATTCTTATTTCACATACCGTTTTGTTTTCTTCTCTTTCAAAAACCATCACTTTCGTCTTACTTGCGTTGACTTTCATTCCCCTTTCCTTTAATTCCCAGTTCATCAATGTAATCATTTGCACTCAGCCGCCGATGATGCAAATATGACTTGATCATCGGCATATAAAAGGCATTTGACGGTTAACTAGCCCATTCTTAACCCACATTCTTCATCTTTCAAAATTTGCAAACACCTGTCCATAAATAGGTTGAACAGCCAAGGGGAAGCTACACAGCCCTGTCTGACACCTTTTTGGATGCCAAACCAGTCCGAGTAGACCCCATTGATCCTGACACAAGCACTAGAGTCTCTATAAAGAGACCTTAATGCCTGTATCAAACCAGCGCTCAACCCATATGAGTATCAGTGTTTGCCATAACACATTCCTGTCCACTCTGTCATAAGCCTTTTCCAAGCCCATGAACGCACAAAAAACTTTCTGGTTTTTAGCCAAAAACTTCTCCGCAATCATGCGCATGGAAAAGACTTGATCTTTACCCCCATTCCCTTTCCAAAAAGTCGCTTGCACATCCCAAATTTTTCCATCAGTTTCTTTCATAACTCTTTCAATTAACACCTTAGCATACAGTTTACCCACAATACTAAGCAAGCTGATACCACGGTAGTTTTTGCAGTCCTGCTGTGACCCTTTTCCTTTATATATTGGTACTATAACTGCTTTACACCAGTCATCCGGTACCCGTTTTAATTCCCAACATAAATTAAACAAGGTGTACAGCAGGCCTGCCACCACTCCCTCTCCAGCCCTTAGCATCTCGAGTGATACTCTATTATATCCAACTGCCTTACCTGCTTTCATGCTTTTCATTGCTTTCATTATTTCATCTACACTTATCTCCATACCCCTTTCCACTTCTTTCGGAATTTCTATCATATTCATTTAATTCAGACGACTCTTCACTCATAAACACGCTTTCAAATTATTCCTTCCATCTGCTTAAATTCGAAACTTCATCATTCAGAATACATCCATTCTCTTCTCTTATAGCATTAATTATAGGCTGTTTTGTATTTCCCCTGGCAGTTCTTACGAGTTTCCAGAACATTTTTATATTAGCCTGGAAATTATCAGATATCCTTTTATCATTCTTACCCGTTCTTTCTTTCTTTTTCCTTTCAACTACTTCTTTACTCTCTTATTTAGACGTCTAAACTCGTTCTGCTTTTTTCTTTCAATCTCATCATTCATAATCATCATCATCATTACAGCCCTTCACAAGTCCACTGCTGAACATAGGCCTCCCCCAAGTAAT